ACTCTCGTGTGAGCAACACGCACTCGATGCAAGCGGGTTGTAGATAACGCAACGCAAGCATGTCTACGTACACGCAATGCAAGAGTGTTGAAACGCTAGCGTGTTGATAAGTTCGTACCCATGAACAATGCGCATGCAGCGCCACAACTAAAAGCAGGGGCTAGTCGCGCTCGCGCTATAAGAACTCAGGCCAGCTACTGAGCAGGGTAAGCCAATGGTGGCCTGGTCAGCCGCTGATTTCGTGTGTCATTTGACCCTTATATTTTTTTCCATGAAACTACCCAAAATAGCTCCTACTGGGCGGCTAATTATGAGATGCGGCCATTTCACATCTGAATCATCTCTAATCCGAGACTGACAACCGAAACCAGACCGTCTGCCGCGGCTAAATTTTGACAGGGAAGAGTTACCAGTGCACGTGTAAAGAGCTTCCAGTACACGTGTTAAGAGTTACCAGTACACGTGTAAAGAGCTTGTACGCGTGTAAAGAGCTTCTAGTACACGTGTAAAGAGCTGCTATTCAACGTGTCTTAGAGTTCCGTCCAGACTTTTCGCTCATACAGAGCGCACTTGTATGGCAGCCGTGTATAGGTACAGTTGTGTGAAGTGGCGCTGGTATAAAAATTCTTGCAGTTTCTTAACGTGTCACGCTGCGGTGTCACGCTGATAGTCTCGGTATGCTGGAAGAATGAGTAATTGGAAAGAGGGTAATAGTAACTCTCAGTCTTTAGTTGTACCACGGCGAATAATATCCCAACTTCTTCTTTGTACATTATCTCCTATTACGAATTGTTTGTGCGAATATTGGCGAGTGTTCACAATAATTATTTTTGCAGCAGTTTTATGAAGTATTTTTTCGAACATAATTGATGTCAGTTTTGCGGTATTGAAAATTTGACTTCCACATCTATTGAACTTGAAAATTATAGATGAAAAGTTAATTTCGTATGATGGATTAAATTACAATTTTTTCTATAAAAATTTAATTATTTATGCACAATTTTTCTTGTATTTTGACACAAATTTTTTAGTATATCGTAATTTTTGAGGAAAATCCGAGCTCTCAATATAAATGTGTATTTGAAAATAATTGTTCAATTGTGCATGTTAGAAAATTCTCACATTTATTTGTTTTAATGCGTGTAGGTGAGCATTTTCTATACTGATGATGGAGCAGTTCTTAAAAATATCTTTCGAGAGCCATCGTTTATTTTCTTGACATCCTTTGCTATTAAAATTCTCTCAAGATATAGTTTGATGGAAACCTACCCGATACCTTTCACATAGTTTCGTGCTACCTAGCCGCCCCACTTCATATAGTTTCGTGCTACCTAGCCGCCACACTTCATACAGTTTCGTGCCACCTAGCCGCCACACTTCATATAGTTTCGTGCTACCTAGCCGCCACACTTCATACAGTTTCGTGCTACCTAGCCGCCACACTTCATATAGTTTCGTATCACCTAGACGCCCCACTTCATATAGTTTCGTACCACCTAGACGCACCACTTCACATCGTTTCGTTTTACCTAGCCGCCACACTTCATATAGTTTCGTGCTACCTAGCCGCCACACTTCATGTAGTTTCGTGCTACCTAACCGCCACACTTCATATAGTTTCGTGCTACCTAGTCGCCACACTTCATATAGTTTCGTGATACCTAGCCGCCACACTTCATATAGTTTCGTGCTACCTAGCCGCCACTTTTCATATAGTTTCGTGCTACCTAGACGCCACACTTCATATAGTTTCGTGCTACCTAGCCGCCACACTTCATATAGTTTCGTGATACCTAGCCGCCACACTTCATATAGTTTCGTGATGCCTAGCCGCCACACTTCATATAGTTTCGTGCCACCTAGCCGCCACACTTCATATAGTTTCGTGATGCATAGCCGCCACACTTCATATAGTTTCGTGCTACCTAGCCGCCACACTTCATATAGTTTAGTGATGCCTAGCCGCCACACTTCATTTAGTTTCGCGCTACCTAGCCGCCAAACTTCATTTAGTTTCGTGCTACCTAGCCGCCACACTTCATATAGTTTCGTGCCACCTAGCCGCCACACTTCATATAGTTTCGTGCTACCTAGCCGCCACACTTCATATAGTTTCGTGATACCGTTCTCTAAGCCGATAGTGTAAGTAGGCCACTACATTTATTCTGGTCGCTATGTGTACTTAGACCGCTACATGTATTTTGGCTGCTATACATGTATTTATGCCGCTACATGTATTTAGGCCGCTACATATATATAGGTCTCTATATGTATTTAGGCCGTTACGTGTATTTAGGCCGCTACACGTACCTAATTGCGCTCCTATAATTGCGTACTCTAGTCAGTAGTAAAATAAGAATGTAAATGAATTTTTTGGAATCATATTTCATATTGCTAACTTATAACTAATTTTTCAGATAATATAGCACTCTCCTGACTGAATCGTATGATATATGAAGTAAACCTCATTCATTTGTTTTGTACGAGACAGTTCGTGGTGCGCTAGTTGTGCAGCAAATAGCACACGGTCGCTGTCTATTAACTGTTATCTTTTGACTATCTAGCCGCCGCGTGCACGAAAAGAAAAGTCTCGTCTCATTTATTAATTCAAAGGAATCAGGTAGGTGGCGTTTCTCTAGATGAACTTGCCTGTATATAAATATAGAGGCAATTGCCTCTATATTTATATCATATATTATATAATAAATTTGCCTTATAAATAAAAATTATTTATATACAAAGTTGCCTTTATTAGTTCTGTCGCCCACATTTGTTCTGTAAACGCATTGCGAACAGCCTTTAATTTTGCGCGACATGAATAGAAAGATATACATGTATACATCGAGTTATAATAAAGAACTGAATTCCAAGGAACTGGAATTCAGTTGTTCGAAACTGAAATCAAAATTTTAATCCCTATTATTTAATGTACTGATCCATTTGTTGATATTCGTTACTTGATTTTTCGTTGAAAATGTATTTAGCCTCCCATGTTGCAATCTATGCAAATTGCCTAACATTTGCTAAATGAATTAATACATATTTTTGCAGCATCGAGGAAAATCCTGTCAACTGCCTAGAATGAAGCGCACGGTGATAAGCGTCCTCGCAGCCCTGACCGTCATGGCTACGGTGAGATGACGCATTGGGTGAAGGTTTGAACGTTTAAAGTGTTTTAAAAATATTTCTTGATAAAAAACATGAAAAACGGGTGGAATTATTACAGAACAAACCACCATTAAATACTTAATTTGAGAATCTTAATGATAATGTCCTCGTAACGCTGTAATTGTTGGCCATTCATGATACTCTCTTTGTTATTCTTTATATTGCGCTGAGAAAAATAATTGAATGACTGTCCAAATAGCGTGTTGTGGTATGAAAGTGTGTCACTATTTGCACAATATGACCCATTAATTTTGCTGAGTGTTACGAAAGAATTATGGATACACGAAATTCCTTCACAATGAAATTCGTGAATTCAGCTTACAATTTTAATTTTTCTTAAGGAGAGATTTCGTGCCAAAATGGTGTTGAAACGTAATTAATATTTAAATAATAATCACATGTGAATAAGATGACAATGTGAATGCATGACTATGAAACGTTGTGAATTTGGTCTCAAAAACGCAATGAAATTTTGTTCGCTGTTTTTTGCAGCTTGTTGATCAGCCCTGCATTTTACATGCATCAATTTATGAATATTAATTACTTTGAACACTTATAAATCATCGAACATTTTCATGTGCAGCTAAGCAATAACGCTCAGGATAATATGAAAATGTATAATAATATGAATTATATAATATTAATTTATTAAACTTTTGTGAACGCGGTTAAGAAAATACTAAGTTCTGACTGGCGCTGCATGCTGCTTTCTATGATGGCATACCAAATGTTCAGGGTGCTGAACAAAGAACAAATTGTAATATTAACTTTGAAATAATGTATTTACGATATAAGCTAAGGTATCGATTATAACTGAACTACTCGATATACAAGGCACTTGTAATTCAGTCCTCACGCGACTACAAATTTCTTACACTTGTTCCTGTCCTGCAGCTGGCAGCACTGGCTTCGAGTCAGGTGAGCGCATCAAAGTGGACGTCAGCCTGCTTGCTCAACAACAATTATAAAACAGAAGAAACTTTCTCTCACACCAATTTAGTTTAATTTTTAAATTTAAACATTTCCAAAAAAGCCTATTGTTTTTACATGCGCTGATGTCCTGGACGTCAACTGCTCGCCTACCAAAAATTATTGTTACTAATGCTGGATGTCAGACTGCTCGCCTACCAAGAATTATCTAACCAAACCAAATTCCTCCCAAAACAATTTTTTTAGTTTTTCCTTTTGTTAAACATCACCCGCAGGTCCAAAACATAGACTATCGCATTTACATGTGTTTATGTGTGGGTATTAATATCAAATACGCATTATATAATTATGATTAAATTTTAACACCTATATTCATGAATTTATTAATATTCATTCAGTTATCTCAGTTCCTCTTCAATTCCTGTGTTATTTGCCTAAGCAATGATTTTTTCAGCTGGTTAGCGTCACATCGCCTGACCCTAGCCGCGCGGGCTGCGCTAGTCGTTCAGTCGGCGTCATCTTCAAGACATTCGCCAGCAAGTTGTCCGATGGAACTCAAGTGGTGGGTTCATGCAACATATTTTGTGTTACATTTTGACTGACAACTAGCGTACGTACCAAAAATACATGATATATGTGTTCACGCATCATTTAAATGGGAGACTTTATTTTTATAGTCGCCTCCAATTTAGCTTTCCTATGGAACTGAAGTGGTGGGTTGATGCAACATATTTTGTGCTGCATTTTTACTGACAACTACGAACCAAAAATACATGATATATTTCTTTATATTCACCTCCAATTTAGCTGCCCGATGGAACTGAAGTGGTGGGTTCATGCAGCATATTTTGTGCTGCATGTTTACCGACAACTACGAACCAAAAATACATGATATATTTCTTAACGCCTCATGTAAATGGGTGAATTTATTTTATATTCGCCTCCAATTTAGCTGTCCGTTGGAGCTAAATTGGTGGGTTGAAGCAGCATATTTTGTGCTACATTTTTACTGACAACTGGCGTTCGAGCAACAAAATAAACAATTTATATTCCACGCCCCATTTAAATACGTGTATTGATATTTTGTGTTCGCCTCCAATTAAGCAGTACGATGGAGCTAAAGTGGTGGTTTGCAAGCGACATATTTTGTGTTTAATTTTTACTCCCAACTAGCGTGCGAGCATAGAATGAGTAATATATATCTTCACGCCTCGTTTTAAATTAGTGAATTCCCGTTTATACAATATTCTTTCTTAGATTTTTTTATGCTATTGCCCAAATTTCTGGCGAGGTGCACCAAAAGCCTGACCTGCGATTTGTACAGGTCTTTGAGCTCTTCAGAGTCTCAGTGGGCGCCTTGAGTGTGATGGTCATAGACGAGCGCAAGATGGAAGCTGGCTTAAGCTTCTTGCAGTGCGCAGCGGGTGTCAGTTCTCAAGGTTAGTATTCATTGCGTGTTTATTTGGCCTACAATATTTTTAAGGGGACCGATTGATAATTTTGATAACTTCTATAGTTATTATCCGATTGACATGAAACTTCACATACATACGTAAAATGTAAAAAGAAAAACATTTTTTGCTCCTGTGAATTTTTCGAAAAAATTGATAGAAAACGTGATATTCATAGAAAACGGACAAATAACGGGTACTTCAGAAAATCTATCTCCTCCTACAAATATCATCCTACTTGATTTTGCTACCAATAGAATCGTCAGAAAGTAAGCTTTAACATGAGTATATGCACCGGATAATGCCATGATTGGCCGCTTTACGTCAGGCGTTTCTTTTAGTTTGTCCAGCCCTGTAATTAAATCCCATAGACATTTGTTAAAGGGCCTAAAAACTGCCCTTCTTTGGGAAGCTGTCACGAAATCATTTTTTGACGCACAGGGATGATTCTGGTACCGTTGAATGCGTTGAAAAGTGAGCTTTAAGATGAGCCCAAAAAGTGGAAAACGCCAAAATTGAAAATTTTAGGTTAGACGGTCCCCTTAAGCCTGCATTTTATTTCTCTCAAAAAGTGATACTCTCCCTGACATGTGGCGCAAAAGTTTCATTTGTCTTTCACCCAAGCCATCTACACTGGCAGCTATCCAACCGTTAACGCGTGTCACTAGGAACTAGCGATTAATTATTTTTTTAAGCAAGGGTAATAAATTATTCGTTTACTCAATCGTTTACACCATTAGCTGTTAAATACATGTATTTTAAAATATGTGGTCATAACTTTGTGCTTTAAAATTGAAAGCAATATTTTAATGGATCGGGTTAATCATTCTCCTTGACCATCAATTTTTATTACTATTGTCTTATTTTCCCGCACTTATAGCTATGGTAACTTTAGAAATCCCACAAGTTATAAAGTTTGGGTTAAAATCGAGACTACCTCGTATTTCTAACACAAGCCTCATTCATCAAGGAAATTGTTTAATTTCTTACGATAAATTGACAACATTAACAATTTTGTACGCAGAACATGCGTTTGCCCCCGACATCGACGGGGTTTGCGTGGCTTATAAACTGCGGGGAAGCTTCTGCTGCGTCGCCGACGGCGACATAAACGTTTACGTACGCAAGGACTTCGTACGAAATGGTGCGTATCTGCTGCTGATTGTCAGAGCTTATAGAGACATAAACGTTTACGTACGCAAAGACTTCGTACGAAATGGTGCGTATCTGCTGTTCATTATCAGAGCTTATAGAGACAAACGTTTACGTCCGCAAGGACTTCGTTCGAAATGGTGCGTATCTGCTGCTGATTATTATCATAGCTTAGAGAAATCTATGAGACTTGTCAAAAAGCGGTGCACTTTTGCCCTTATGTGGGTCATATTGACCCAGTTTAGTGCGGAAAAATAAGGTATCAGTACCTCACGCTGCATGTGTGTCAATATTAGGACAACATTTTTCAAAATTAGGACACGTTGCCAGTGTGTCAATTACGCAAGCGAACGCAATTTTCAATAACTTACCTGCCACGAGTTGGCATAACAAGCAGTTTCTGATCGTTCTCCTTTGCATCCGATCACTTTCATTCCTCCTGCTGTGAATTGAATGATCGATTTGAAATTCAATTCTTTCTCAATTGCTTTGGCAAATTTCTTAAAAGTATTCACTTCTAACAAGCATTTCTTCCCCATCGGAGACCCAACTGACACACATGTATCACAGTTAGAAAAATCACCTTTAAACGGCCTCACCGGCGTTCTAGTGGCCGGCCGACGCGTGAAAGAAACGCTGTGTAGCCGTTATTATTCAAATTTAACACTAGAAACCCGTACAATATTTGACAAAACGGCAAAACAGTTTATTTTCACGTGGGGGCCGGCCACTAGAACGCCGGTGAGACTGTTTTTCTACCGTTTTTTCTAACAGCATATCTCCTTCCCAATACAGATAATGATACTGTCTACAAGGTTGAAGATGACACAATCATCGGTTACATCCCGTCGCTCATGTTTACGCTTGAGGAACTGAATGCTAAGCAGACGAAAGGTAAGCGATATTTGCTTTCACTGCACGATAATTAATTTGGTCCACGGACCACCAGCTGCTTTGCAAACAAATGATCGATTTTTCTACTGGATATTTTACACTAAGTCCAATGGGATATTTTTTTAAATCAAATACTATTCATTCTACTTTATTAATGTCGCTAGATTGCTTGAATCGCAGATTCAGAAGAAATTTAAATGCGAAGAAAACGCCGCATAATTTTTTCTTTTGAATTACTATGTTCTATGTTACTTTACTATGTTCTGATTGTATTTGTGTTATAGATTTATCCAACTGACGATGGAGCTGGACTCTGAAACGTTTTCAATAGAGATATGTTGAATTTTTGTGGAGTTTTGTTCGCTTTTAAATTGCTTCTACCTTAAATCGGAGGCTATAATTGTTTCAATGTTATTGCTTATCTAGCTGTCGGAAGTCAATTTTGAACGTAGCACACAAATATGAGCGGAGACCAGGGCCTATACTTTCAAAAAAAGTTAAGAGATCGTAAGTTCATCAGCCAATCATTGACGGCCTTTCAAGCCAAATTCACCAATCATGGACAAGAAAATAGAGCGTAAGTACTTACGTTCTTTTAGCGAGTTTTGAAAGTATGGCCCCTGATCACGACTTATTTTTACCTTTTCATTATAATGTACGTGACAGACTTCACCAAATTAATGGCAAAATATACAACGAACTGATCTTAAAATTATATAAAATAAACCAGAAATTTCATTGGGTTAATAATTTTTTTTGCAAACAGACGACAGCTTTTCATCGCTGGATGACACCACCGTGATGGTTTACAAGGAAGATAATATCTATTTGTTCGACAACACTCGTTACATCGACATTCTGACCTGCATGGCTCCCAACTCCTGTGGGATGGTGGCAGCAATAAAGAAAACTGCACAAATGAGTCATGTAGTTGGTGAGCGAATCGTGTGTAATGACCTAGGCCACTCTTGTCCTATGTAGTTGGTGAGTGAATTGTGTGTAATGACCTAGGCCACTCTTGTCCTAAACGTGTTCCTTTCAGCAGAAAAATTACGATTTTGAATCAACAATCACTAGGCAGGGTGGCCCAGTGGTTACAGTTTAGAGTACCATGATTAGAGCAGAGAGGTACGGGTTCGATCCCAGCTACCTGCGACAGTTCTAGTCAGAATCGGCATGCAGGCCGGGCGGTTAAGCACAGCAGAATTGGAGCAGTGAGTTGCGTGTTCGAGATCCAACAAGCTGTGAAAGTTCTGCGATGCTAAGAGTCGGCGACAAGCCTACGACCTAATTAATGGCAAAACATCAATTATTATCATTCCTATATTATTATTAATAATATTTTTATTATTATTATTCCCATTATTTTTATTATTATTATTATTGCAGGTAACAGTCACAATAAATAGCGTGCTGTGTCAGTTACAGTGCAGCTTGGTTAAAATAAAATTCAACATTTGTTTATCAAACAATTCAATACCAAACTTCAATTCGTGACTTATGGGGAGCGTCTGGCCAAAATTCTATCTAGGCTATTTACAAACGGATCTTTTTGAAACTTGATACACAAATGTAAAACAGAAAATAGACGGTTTTTGTTCAAGTCAATTTTTTGAAAAATGGAAGAAAACGTGAAATTCTTAGAAAACGGCCAATAATGGGGTACTGTAGAAATCCATCTCCTCCTAGGATTTTCAAGCTACAACATCGAGACGCAAATCATTCGATGCGTAAGACCATGCCTATCGATTGGTCGTAGCTTTTTTTGAAATTGTAATTTTTGTGGGTGGGGGGAATTTTTCGTAAAATTTTCCATAAATTTTTCGCTTTCCCCCCATTTTCGAAATATTTTCAAACTATAACGAAATTTAAAAAAAAATACAACCAATCTCCAAATCTTTCCTTTACGAGTCGAACGGTATATCTCGCATTGCTGTAGTTTAAAAACTCTAGGAGGAGATAGGTTTGCAGTGAACATACGTGCGAATGTTCAGGAGAGCGCTACAAAGCCCCGAGCGCCCCGCGGCGTGCTATACATAGGCATATAAGGTGGCAAGGATAACAGGCAAGACGTTACTTGAGCTCAAATTCAGTCACAGATGGAGAGGACGATTGCATGTGCACCTACCCACATGACGGCTACCAGGTAACTGAAGTGCAGCGTCTACGGACGTTATAGTCTTATGTGCCATAATGAGCATAAGGTGAAAGAGCTCCACGACACCTAATTCTTTCGCGATCTGTCGTGAACGCATAAATCAACGTACAGAGATGATTAGGTCAGAATGCCAGCTTTAAGATGAGCATAAAAACAGGAAAAGCCAAGATCCAAAATTTTTGGCCAGACGCTCGCCTAATATCCACAGATGCTCTAAATAACACAGTTTTAAAGCTCTGAATGAATAGCAATAATCCAAAGTAAGCAACTCACTGAAAGTCTCGATGTATCGTCACTGGGTTATTTTATCGTCACTGTGTGATGTTATCGTCACTGGGTGATGTTATCGTCACTGGGTTATTTTATCGTCACTGGGTGATGTTATCGTTCCTGGGCGATGTTATCGTCACTGGGTGATGTTATCGTCTCTGGGTGATGTTATCGTCACTGGGTGATGTTATCGTCACTGGGTGATGTTATCGTCACTGGGTTATTTTATCGTCACTGGGTGATGTTATCGTCACTGGGTGATGTTATCGTCTCTGGGTGATGTTACCGTCACTGGGTGCTGTTATCGTCACTGGGTGCTGTTATCGTCACTGGGTGCTGTTATCGTCACTGGGCGATGTTATCGTCACTTGGTGATGTTATATTGACCTTCTACTCATCAGTCGGGAACTGTGGCAAACAAGACAAGGTGATTTTCGATGACCGGATCGTCTCCCACGCTGGCTACGGCTGCGTGCCATTCCCTGACCACGTCGAGGATTGCTCGCTCACATTCACATTCAACCTGGTCAGTGGAGGAGGCTTCTTCGTGTGGGAAACTTCAGACTTCAGCACAGACGGCCTGTGTGATGGATTCAAAATTACCTACGCCTGCCCCCCAGATGCTACGCCAAAGGATCTTTGCTCTTTGACTGTGAGTAGCTCACATTAGATTATTTTTAAGTCAACTGAAATATAACTCAAACATCTTTTTAGAACAGCGAATAATATTTAAATGTTGCTTGTCATGGGGAATGTAGATAAAAGGCTCATGCATCATGCATGATTAACGCTCATGCATGTGCCAATATCACAACTAAGTACATTTTTGAACATTGCAGTCTATTCCTGTTTGGATAATGCACAAGAAAAGATATAGAACGTTATATAATAACAATGCTGGTAGCTGACATCTTGTGGGTAAGGGTAAAATAAGCGCGCATGTTTTATTAGAATTTATACCGATGGCCCAAATATCCTGACGTGCTAGAATGACGATACATATGAATCTGTCAGTTAGTTCAGATGATTCCTCTGAATCTGTCAATTCAGAAGATTCTATGAATCTGTCAGTTAGTTCAGATGATTCCTCTGAATCTGTCAATTCAGAAGATTCTATGAATGTTCAGATGATTCCTATGAATCGGTCAGTTAGTTCAGATGATTCCTATAAATCTGTCAGTTAGTTCAGATGATTCCTCTGAATCTGTCAGTTAGTGTAGATGATTCCTCTGAATCTGTCAGTTAGTTCAGATGATTCCTATGAATCGGTCAGTTAGTTCAGATGATTCCTATGAATCTGCCAGTTACTTCAGATGATTCCTATAAATCTGTCAGTTAGTTCAGATGATTCATCTGAATCTGTCAGTTAGTTCAGATGATTCCTATGAATCGGTCAATTAGTTCGATCATCTGAGACATTAAATACTGAGATGTGGCATCGTTTGGGCAGGCACCGGCCGGTTTTCTGATGAATGCTAATGTCCCGGCCGTCCTTCGCATCGAAGGAACTAAGACCACGAACCGCAAGATAATCGGCTTTACGGTGACGTTCGTAGATGACTTTACCCCAACAACAAATTAATGTGGAACCTGCAATTGAACCAAGCCGGCCTATAATAATTTGAGCCTTATGAAGTGTAAAAACTGTCATTTGTAATGAGAAATTGACATTCAACTGCTCTCAATGTCTCTTCGGAAGGCCGTTCAGCAAAGTCTTCAGAATTTTTTGCTTTGGATTGTGATGTGTTCAGCAATGAATTTCTTTGGATTGCGATGTGTTCAGCAATCAATTTCTTTGAAATGTTATGTGTTAAACCAATATTTATTTTGGATAAGGATGTGTTCAGCAATAAATTACTTTGGATTGTGATGTGTTCAGCAATTAATTACTTTAGATTGTGATGTGTTCAGCAATTAATTACTTTAGATTGTGATGTGTTCAAAAATTAATTATTTTGGATTGTTATGTATTCAGCAACTAATTAATTTTGATTGTGATGTTTTCAGCTATTAATTACTTTTGGATTGTGATGTGTTCAGCAATAAATTCCTATAGATTTGCCGCAATTATAATCAATCAACGGCAGAGTCAGGCTAAACATCGAATTCATAAACACAATTCGACTCAAGTCGCACATCTAAAATGCATCGTTGGATTGCTGTTTTGAAATCAATAAAATTGTCTCCTATGTTTTAAATCTGAGTCTGCTGAAGACAATTGATGACTATAAATACCTAATTTAGAGTTAGACTACGTTTTAAAAATGAGGAATTCATACACATGCATTTGATTTCAATTGATGATTTTCTCTAATTACATGAAAACGAAAGTTCATTATCTTAAGTTATTGGCTTTTGAAAGAAATTGCTCTAGGTTGCACGAATTTCAAATTCATTTAATTTTTTCTCGTTTAATATTTTTTTTCTTGAGTCCACGGGGATCGAACTGAACCAACGTAGAACGAATTAAACCCACTTGAAGTGAACTGAACCTATCGTAGATCGAACTGAACCACGTAGATCGAACTGAACCCAAGTAGATCGAATTAAACCCACTTAAAGTGAACTGTACCTACGTAGATCGAACTGAACCCACACAGATCGAACTGAACCCTCAGGAGTTTTGAGGAGAGCGAAATTTCAAAACTTAACTCATTTTAAAACTCAAAAATATGGAATACGCTCCAAAACTCAGCCACGCACTCATTTTTAACTCCTTCCTCTAATTTTCGGGTGAAGGCCCCATCTATCAGATGCAGGTTCGTTCTACTTCGATTATGATTGTGGAATCACAGCTCGAACTAGTTTTTGAGGAAAATTTCTGTTCCTGGATGTTATTTTTAAAATATTTTGTTGAATTTTTTAAATTTCTCCAAGTACAGCACCGCGTCATCAGCATCACTTCTTGGTGCGGTTACGCCTCGGCTTGTCATAAATTATCACTCGAAGATATAAAAAAAAATTCCGTCCATCTTCAATTCAGAGATAAATTTTGAGCAGATAACTGATTCCAAATATTAAAATTAGGTGAATTACTTTATTAAATTTCAAATATAAAATTCAGTGAACGCAACAATCGACGGCGTTAGGCGATCGCCATATATTTTTTTTTATAATAAGGCCTCCCACACTCACCATTCCAACAAAAAGGAATTAATTTTATTAATTAAAAACGGAATGGTTTCATGTCAATGATCAGGGCCCCGACCTTAACGCCTCTGATGGTGGCCTACACCGACTCCGAGAGTCACTGAGCTGTGACGCGAGCGAGAGATGTGTATAAGAGACAGGGCGTNCCCAATTGGACCGGCTGAAGTGCTTCTCCTATTAACGGAGACAATGGCCATGCTCCAACCTTGGTAGCCAAGCGACGCAAGGTGCTCCCAACCGCTACGGGGCGAATACCCCCGTCTTTTTTCCGTAGGGCGCACAGAGTGGCTTCATAGAACACCGGTCTCGCAAACCCAGGAACCCGCCCTCCAATCACCAGGTTGACGAATTCAGTAAGGGAGGTCAGTAACCTCGCGCCCGCCTCACCCGACTTACGCGAAATCAGGGCCACCAGATGACCCGGGCGGAGCCCGTCCGGACCACCCGCCATATTCGTTTACTATGATCTCCACGCGCCCGTTGATAACGACCTCTTGCACAAATTGCTCGTGCCCAATTTAGGAAATCATTCGTGTTCAGTTAGGAAGTCCATTTATACTGTTAATGAGTCGCGTAGTCATGTTTCGCCGCCAACTTGAATTTCGCTTAGACGACCGGGGCAATCTGAAATTATGGCTCATTTTTTTAATTGAAAATTTTCTCAGGAGGGATATATTTGAAAAATGTGTATGTGACTAGGACAACTAGCTAGCCTCGTTTGCGTACAGTGGGTACACGCAACATAGAGCAACAAGATGAGATATAGCTATTTGCTTTATTCCGCCGAGAGCAGCCTAGCTCAATTTAAACTCAACCTAAAAATCCAATTGTTTTACAAAATATTTCGTTTTGAATTTTTTGTCCCGCTTTAGACCGAAGATAATATCTTCCACTTCCTAGGTAATAAATTTTGATACTGCAGATATTATCAACGAGATACTATGCAAACACTACTAAACACTTAATTCAGTTACATTCATGATGAAATAATGGTAGCGATTTACAATCAAAAATTCATTTATTATTTGTCGACTTATAGCACACAATTTTTATATGAAAAATCTTGTAATTCAATTAAGAAAGCCATGTCGAGAACGAATATTGATATAATAATAGCGGTGTCAGCGTTCCTCAGGTCGATAAACCCGTCGCTAATTCAAACCATCGCATAACATTCACAGCTAGTTGCGGTGTCGACCACTCAACTTACTGCTCCAATTTTGCGTTGCACAGCTACGTTGCGCAAGCTACCCGACCAGAACTGTTGCAGGTAGCTGGGATCGATCACTCGCAGAGCAGTGATCCTCTAGCTAAAATCTCTGCTCTAATAACCAGGTATTCTGAACTGTAACCATTGGGCCACTCGGCCCTGTTAAACAATAAAGGAAAATACAATTATATAACAAACTGAGCTTACAATCACACACGCTTCTTGTCGTACAACCTCGCGCGAATGGTACGATTCGATTTCCCCAACAAAATTCGGGGTCAGCCTATAGGCTTCGGCCAAATAGTCGCTAAACTGGGTGCAAAGTTATTGTGGGTCTGCTTGGCCACCAGATCAAAATTAGTTTCTGGTCAGAATCTTCTGTCCGGCTTTATAGTCGCCTGAGAGTATGGCAAGGGTCGGCCGTGCCGAGTCATACCGAGATAGCCAACTGCGCAGAGGCTGCTCTTCGAACCCTGTGCCGAAGCGGACATAGAGAAGCTCATAAACGTGCTCCCCGAGTCCTAGGCGGCCCTAATTCAGGGACGCGCACTCCTCAAAATTTTGTTAGTGTATAGAGGAGCCAAGCTTCATATCTACAGAAATGTTTTATCTCTTATAAAGCATTGTCCCGGCACTATAACCTTCACTTTTGAAGGAACTATTCTACTAACAATTAATGATGTCCTAACTACAATACACTTGTAGTATTCAGCAGCGTTATTCATTATTTATGCATCGATAACTATCCATTAAATGATGTGTAGCATTCATTGTTCAATTCAGAGTTAAACTCGTTTACAGCAACTGCTCTCAGGGAAATGCGTGAGTCATTGTCCCTCTCATGAACATTTTGCCCTCATGTGGGTCATCCTGACACAGTTAGGCCCGGTAAATGTGCGTGTCAGTGCTACATGCATGCGCTCGTGCTGTGGGTAAGAAAAGCAGTTACTGTTTTGGACAATGACTCGTCCATTTTCTGAGTATGGTATCAAATCACTTTTGAACCGATCGGAAAATATTGAAATATAGGGAATGATCAAAATTTGAGACATAACTCATTGATATCAAACGCATTCCAGATATTTTTCTGCTTCTTTCTCAATTAAAACTCAAGATGAAAACAATTATATTAGGTTAATTTAGTTTTTGTTTGGATATTGTAATGTTATTACAACTATCCCAATATAATCCTACTAACCCATTGTTTATACCCGTAGGTCGTCTGTAGTGCATACTTTTTGCCTGGTTTTAAATAAAAATTCTCATTTCCAATTCCAATCATCTAATTCTAATAACAAAGTATTATTTCGACAATAGTTGTTAATTGCAAATCTGTTACAAAATCAGCTTTGTTGTAATGGTTCATAAATGGCGATGTGTTCGGCCTCCTAAGCGTGCATATGAATAATTATACTTTAATATGAACTAAATACAATTTTATCTTCAGATTATATGGTTAGTAAAAACAATGCTAAAAGCGATCATGATCATATTAATTGAAAAAAAAACTCACACAACATTTTATAATATATCAAGATACAGCATTTAATAAAATCAGAACTGAAACTCGTACCAGCAAATGTTACCTAAAGAAGAAAAACTTGGTTTATCATAATATCGAGCACTGTGTTGAACTCGACCATTTCACGAAAATATTGTATGCATTGAAGGAAAAGAGGTTTTTAGTTTCCACCCTTACATTTTATTGAATCTACACTTAAAAAATAATGAAGCATGAATGAAATGCGGACGACGCAGCAGCTCGCCAGGCCTCATCTGACGCCCGTACCAGAATTAGGTGCTGAAAATTCCTCCAGTTTTATTTCTGCGTCAGCTCAAGGGCACTGATAAAAAATATTTGTTGCATGCATGCGCTGTATTTATAAAATATATCAAGAATGACGATGTGGGGGGAAGTTTTCCCAATACATGTTCTCATGTCAACATTACCGAGTACACTCAGTAGACGTATGGGTCATTGTGTCCAAATATTGACACACTTTCTAACTATATTGTAAGCACAAGCAGTGAGCGGACGTAACACGGATACAGGCCAAACTGAGTCAGATTGACCCACACATAAGAGAAAATGAGGCTATTTGGACAAGGCCCTCGCATTTATCTCAGTGTACATGCCCGTAAATAGGGCTGTTGTGAATCGAGTAAAGCGCTTATTCTTAATTACTCGCCCAGTGAGAAAAATTTCCACAGCACGTGTCACAGCACACTAGCATTGATGTCGATGAGCGGATCTTCTACGATCCATGATTTTGAATTGAGTAGTCCTGGACGATCTATGACTCTAAGTGGGCTTTTGAGTTAAGCGTAGTTCATTTGAGTGGAGGGGAGCCCGTTATGTCAGAATATTTCTAGGAACAGCAGCAACATTGCGACCACCACGATGTCTCCTTAGGATAGGATGACCGCTCCTTCTGTGCGTCTCCAGAAAATGTATCTGACTGTTTATGTTGACGTTGTCCGACAGCAGTCTGTGGTGAGAGCGCCTCGCCATTAGTGTGCACAGGTGTCATTACCTTCTCACTTACTTGCCTGTCCAATTCTAATTTCTTCTGGTTGCACTCTTGCTTAGTGGCCTTTGGTTCATTTTCAAGCCAACGTAAGAATTCATCACATGCCTTGAATGCAGCAGATTCCTGGCCGAATTCCTGTCTAAACTTTTCCCGTAAATCGAGGCAGAGAGTTCCAATTTCGTTTATGACGTTTTCATTTTCTTTCCATCTCCTTTCGTCGTCTAGAAACATTTTGTGACGAGCCTTGCAAGCTTTCATTTTATGTGCATCAGATGATAGCCCCCGAGTCTGAATATTCCATTTATCTTCACTCGAAAGTAGTGTAATTTGGAAGACTCCGCTTTCATCAATCGTAAATAGAAGTGTGCCCGATGACGCTGGAAAACCAGGAGGTCTTAACCGAGTTATTGTCAGTTCTGAGGTATCAATCCCGTTTCCCATAAACACTCGTACATTCTCATACAAGGTCAACCCAGAATCATTTAATTTCTTCCAGATATCGACAGGAATTGCAAAATTGAAATTACCTGGAATGGGTGCATCAAAATCAATTATAGTTCCCGATTCCGAACCTGCCTTGTACCAGACGCGTCTGGGCAACACCTCCTCCACCTCGCGTGGCGTTGAGCAGCCCAGCTCGGCAGCTCGGAGGGCAGCGCCACAGGCAACCGCCTCGTCTTTGTTAAGCGAGTGATCCAGAGGTTTTCTTAATGTTTTGGCAATCAACTTTTCAACAGCAGGGATACGCGTTGAACCTCCCACCATCACAACTGTTCGGACTTTAGCCCAATCATTATTGTTGGCCAATCGATCCAATGCACCCCTGAGATTTCCAAGCTGCTTCAGACACACATCTTCCATTTCCTGCCTAGTAATTAGACACGTGAAGTCGACATCGTTAAATATTGTGTCTGCTTGTATCACAGAAGAAGGAAGGAGAGTCAGATCGTGTTTCAATTTCTCAGTGGCGGCCCTAAACCTCATTAAATGTTTAGCCGACTCTGTGAAAGTGTACATGTGTTCATCTTCAAACTTATTGATGACGGCTTTCATCATGCACAAGTCAAAGAAGTTCCCACTGACAGTGGAGCACCCAAAAGCTTCCTTAACTTTTACCGCATTCTGATCAATGGACACCACTGCAAGGCTCAGAGAACTGGCACCGAAATCTACTACAGCAACGCAATCATCTTCTTTGGGGTGATAATCCCAGTAAGCGATGGCGACGGCGGTGGTCGAGTTGATCAGCGTGACATTCTTAAGGCCAGCGATGCGGGCCGCATCAAGAGTGGCTTGTCGCTGCGCGTTGCTGAAATTTACTGGAACAGAAATCACTGCGTTTGTGACCTCGCTGCCCAAGTGACTTTCTGCTTCAGACTTCATCTTAGCGATTAGCAAAGCCGTTATTTGTTCAGGGCGCAGCTTCACGTTCTCTTTCCTGTACTCAACTTTGAAGATTAGTGAGTCGTCCTCGGTTGTGGAGAATGCGGGAAGGTATGGAAGTACAGTTAGGTCCTCTTCATCCAAAGGGCGTATTAGTTTTGAAGTTTGGTTAGGAATTGTTGTACCATTTGAATGACACGGCTCTCCTTTCATAGTCCTGCTGAAGTTTCGGCCAAGGACGGTCTTGACGCCATAAAAAGTGTTCTCTGGATTGAGCGCCGCCTGGTCCCTGGCATCGCTGCCCACGAGGCTGCGGGAGTCGGTGAAGGCAACAAAACTCGGAGTGGTCTTGTCGCCGTGAGCGTTTGGCAACACCGTCACCGCTCCAGCGCGCACGCTGGCAACACAGCACTTGCCTGCGCCCAGGTCCAGCCCGATGCTGGCCTCGCCCGACATCTTCCTGCGGACATGTATCAGCATTAATATTAAACGGTTCGGAGGGAAATCAAATCAGAAAATTGAGCTATTAGAAAGCACTATTAGTCGTACCGCAGGTGCAAAACAGACACTCGGTACTTTTCCATAATTGAAAGCAAATAGGATCGCTCGTGGTCGTCATGTCTGATGAATGGATAAAATTCCTTCAGCCTGAGGAAGTTGCAATCCAAGTTGGTGTTCAGTAAAAACGACACCAGAAGCGAAACAAATAAATGAAATGAAAAACAAAAATTCGTTGAAATACCGTTGCTAACATCCAAGAATAAAATTGAAACCATTACTAACAAAAATGATTCATACGAAATGTTGTTCATCTCCTATATCCTCATAACGTTAAAGCAATGGATGTATCTAGCGGGATAAGACCAGAAGGTGCTAAGCTGTCAAATGATCAATAATACACGTGACTTGTGGTGACTTGTGGTAGTAAGCATTCGTCTCTTATTAATTTTCTTACCAATATTATTTAGGTATTTACTTATTAGCAATTTTCATCCCAGAGAAATTGGTAGGTTAGATCCGGAGAATAGGTTTTACGCGCAACCATTGCTGTCCCAGAACCCACACTTGCAAGGTGTGTATGTTTATGTAGTGTCACTTCATATTTGTTCATATTTTGCCCGTTTTATGTTTTGTGATTTATTAATTGCTCAATTTGTACATATTTTCTAATAAGGTCTTGTATATATTGATCATTATATTTTGGTCTGTATACATATATACATTAGTGATCAGACTGTTATCATCGTTTATTCATTTTAATTTCGTTATTTCTTGCCAGGAGTCTTAACTAGCGACCCAAGTTCATGTATTGTTAAATACTGTTCGCACTAAGGATCAAATGAAACGTTATTATCCCAATGATGACAACTGAGAGCCTGGGGTGGATCCCCTATTTAGAGTGGTAATATATCAAAGTAAACACCTACACAAGTCAATTGCGTTGTGATAGTGGAATGGAAGGTAATAAGATTTGAAAAGAGCTTAGCACAATTTGACGCTCGTCATGTTCTTTTGTTATTGCAGTATACAGTGTACAGGGCAGTGTACACTACAGTGTACAGAACAGTGTACAGGGCAGTGTACAGTACAGTGTACAGTACAGCGTACAATACAGTGTACAGTACAGTGTACAGTACAGTGTACAGTACAGTGTACAGTACAGTGTACAGTACAGCGTACAGTACAGAGTACAGTACAGTGTACAACAGTACAGCGTACAATATACAGTGTACACTACAGTGTACAGTACAGCGTACAATACAGTGTACAGTACAGAGTGGCATGATAACGTGCAATGCATCGCCTTATCAGTGACACAGCGGCACCCGGTGTTAATAGTTGAGCCAATTAATGACCTTAAAACACTGATCGATTTTCATTGCCAGTGATGCACATTACTGTAGAATTTTCATCATCATCATCAGCGATGTTACGCCTGATCGATACAACTCTCACCATCCGGGAAAAATGAAAACATATTCGTTAAAATAAAAGAAAAATAAAAATACACTCGCGACAATATCTCTCACCTGCTTAGAATAAATTTTTTCCAGGAATGAAATAATAAAAAAAATTTACGTTCAATAGTAGAATTGTAGTTTGGAAGGACCGTACGTTACGTTTGGGTAAAGATCTGCCGCAGGTGACCGATTCACAACCTCAATGTTCAGTCATTAGTAAGACACTGATAAAGGCTATCGCATCGCCATGATACCTTGCAAGGCTACGAACATGGATGTATATGTCCACCCAAGAGAACCTATAAACATGTTACTGTTATTCCATCAATATTATCGAACAAAATAATCGATTTTACATTGGAAAAATAACATCCATTACTCAATGACCTATATTAATTACCTTACGAACTTAAATACATCATTGCGACTACATACGCGAAGCCGTTAATGACATGCGAGTGATGATGCCTAGATCAATGCCAGGTATCACCACAATTTTTATCTTGATCGACATTTTATTTCGCTAATTTAATAGCAATTCTGCTGCAAACCACAGTTTGGTGTAGCATGTTGATAAGATAAAATAAAGCATAATATAATTCATGCTATAATTTTTATATCAAGATCAATTTATATATATCATAGCATGTTGATATTGAGAGATAATAAAATATAAAATATAATTACAATTCTCATATAATTATCAACATCTTTTTCACAAATTCTATTGTAAACTTACGAGGCTCCGAAGATATTCTTTTAGCTAAAAAGTACGAGATACTTTTACATGCCAGAGGAACAGCATGAGCTTTATCAGTATAAACGCTTGAAAAATGAACTATTTACCACGTAAGACGAGTGGTCAGAGGCGTAAGAATTGAGTCCAGCGTTATAATTTCGGTGAGGCGACCACCGTTGCCGGATGAGTGTAAATTAAAGTAAAGACTTCTTTCCGCACTCGACTGCAAATTTCCGATGTTGCAACTTGTGGTAAAATGTTGAGTACATTTAGAGCCACTTAAATTTCTATATACTTCGTAAACTAACACTATTAGCTCTAGTATCAATTAATGTCATTTCAACGTTTTGAGTTAACCGTAGAAACATCGTCATCTTCGTGCTGCAACATGCATTTCAAATTGAAATATGATATTACTTGAATTTTCAAAGGATGAAACCAACTTACAGATAATTTCAACGTGCAAGTCCTATTTTATGTGTAGGTAACTCAACACGACGTCCCAAACATAAAGTTTCTTCATTTTTCATCTAAGCTAATTATTTTCACAATTCAAACGTGTTCATAGTTTAAACGCTTTTCCTATCAAAGATAGCATGCTGAGATTCCATTCCTGGTATGTTGTCCCATAACTTCATCTGTAGTACGTAAAACAATCACTTTACTCAAGTTATTTTACCGTCATCTTCCGTATCAGTCGATACTTCCACTAGGTAATGAAAGTGAAGATGAAATAAGTGCCTATATATACACGACATATTTTGTTCAAGTTATTTTATATTGCTCTTCCATATCTTTACTTCCACTAAGTAATGAAAGTGAAGATGAAATATGTGCCTACGACATATTTACATTAAAGAACACTATTACCAAGACGTACGATCTTTGTTCATTTATCTTGCAGATAAGCTTAGCAGGATTCCTTGCATTCGTCATGACATCCGATAAGAAGATAACGTAAAGTTGTCATAAAAGCTACTATAGAAGTGAGCCTTGCGAGCCCCCATATAAGCACCAATTGAGGAAAACTCTGTAGCACCTCCAAGTCACTACACTGTAGTAATTGTAATATTGTAATTGCGGTTTCGGCGTTCATTGGGCCGTGGTTAGGCCTGTCGCCGATTTTTATCATCGCAGAGTATTCACAACTTATTGCTGTCTCGAACACGCAACTCGCTGCTTCAATTTTTGCTTTGCTTAAACGCCCGGCCTATATAGTCGCCGATTATGTCCAGAAACTGGCGCACAGAGCTGGGATCGAACCCGCACCTCTCTGCTACATTGACTATAAAAAGCCTTACGATATATCTAGAACCCATGTTACTGCCGGCATAAGGTTAATTTTCGTAATCCATGTAGGATCGCATACATGTACCTGAACGTAGTTCGATTATAACGTGCAATTATGTAGTATAACATGAGTAAGGCGTGAAAGAAAAATTCATGATTTGCCAGATTTCCATTAAAATCCAGTAAAACGTCTTGTTAGTAGGTAGGGCTCATAGGAAATGGATTGGCAACAATTTAGAAATTTGGTTAGTTTTTCTAACCAGTTCATTAATTTAAAGTCATTTTAAAGTAATACACAGAAAAAATACACCACCTGGAGATGACATATTTATTTAAAAAGCTGTAAAATTTAGTATTAGATTATCAAAAATTACGGTGACAGCAAAGAATAAGATGAACTGCTGCACATGCGGTGAACCAACGTGTTCCTGCTGTGTGGTTCTCGATAGGGTGCCTGACTTGTGTCAAACATTGTGGCGAAGCTTAATTAGCCCAATAACTGATTAGATTTACGAAAAAAACTTCATGTATGGCAAACAAAAGAACATTTTCCAAGATTAAAACGTAAGATATTTAAGTATTAATGTGACGCGGGATACTCAGAGGCACACCAAAGTTCGTCTTACACCGAGCTCACTTTGTCTTACACCGAACTTTGCGCCCCCCCCCCCCCCCCCCCCCCCNCTTCCTCCCCCCCCCCTGGGACAAGTGTAGGCGTGAATCAGTTGACAATCGTTAGCCTTTAATCAGCGAAACATCGTGATGAATTAAATAAATGTAATTTCTCATGTAGTAGGGAATGTTTGGTGGATTCGATGAGGAAATATTTTTTCGTATCAGGATTGTCGCTCAAATTGTGAGAATCCCTACTGCAAGCGACGGGAACATTAAAAATAGTTGGAAATGCCCATGAATTTTGCAGTCGTGATTACATCTACAATTTTTATTTTTAAAAACAAGGCATTGCGGATGAAATCAAAGGTTTTCTTGATGGGGTTCCTGAAGATCGTTCAACCCCCGCGCTCGACTGCGGGGTGCACATCTGCCCTCTCCCCCCATCCAACATCCCCCCAACCAACCCCCAACGCTGGCAACCTCATCCACCAAAATGTTTTAGGTTGGTAGAAATGTCTACCACGCTTCAGATAATAGCTATAATTGAGATCTAATGAATTATTTATCAAAGTAGGAACAACACAATTTAAGTTGCAGAAACTCACTCGATATGTTCACAATTGAGGTGGTAGTTACATTACGAGTTAAATGCCCATTCGTGGGCAGGGGTGTTGGACCGAGCGGTCCAGATTGGTTTTTCGCAGGACATTCAATGACCTCTCTAGGAATGTTTTATAGAAACGTTTTTCAATACGTTACAAGCTAGCATGTAAATACATCAACTGGAGCAATGACGTTGAAAATATTTAAATGTAATAATTTTGTTAATTCCTTGCACGTTAAGGAAGGAAACTA